ACAAGCCATGAGTTCTAAGGAATCAGACTTGTGGCATAATGCCATGAGAGATGAGATGGATTCTATGGCATCAAATCGAGTCTGGGATCTCGTTGAGTTGCCTAATGGTGTAAAAGCCATTGGATGTAAATGGGTTTTCAAAACAAAGAAAGACTCACAAGGTAACATTGAGAGACATAAGGCAAGACTCGTTGCCAAAGGGTTCACTCAGAGGGAGGGAATTGACTATACGGAAACATTTTCTCCTGTATCTAAAAAGGATTCTCTCCGAGTAATTATGGCGTTGGTAGCTCATTTTGATTTTGAGTTACATCAAATGGATGTGAAAACGGCATTTCTTAATGGTGATCTAGAGGAAGAGGTTTACATGAAACAACCAGAAGGATTCTCCTCTAGTGATGGTGAGCACTTGGTTTGCAAGCTAAATAAATCCATATACGGTTTGAAACAAGCCTCCCGTCAGTGGTATTTGAAATTTCATGAAGTTATTACTTCATTTGGTTTTGAAGAGAACGTCATGGATCAATGTTTATACCAGAAGGTTAGTGGGAGTAAAATTTGTTTTCTTGTACTGTATGTGGATGATATTTTACTTGCAACCAATGATAGGGGTTTACTTTATGAGGTGAAACAATTCCTCTCCAAGGACTTTGATATGAAGGATATGGATGAAGCATCTTATGTCATTGGCATTAAGATCCATAGGGACAGATCTCGATGTATTTTGGGTTTGTCTCAAGAAACCTATATCAATAAAGTTTTAGAGAGATTTCATATGAAGAATTGTTCACCGAGTATAGCACCTATTGTGAAGGGTGATAGATTCGATTTGAGTCAATGCCCGAATAATAATTTTGAACGGGAACACATGAAGAACATTCCATATGCTTCAGCTGTTGGAAGCCTTATGTATGCTCAGGTTTGTACCAGACCTGACATAGCATTTGTTGTTGGAATGTTGGGAAGATATCAGAGTAATCCAGGTATAGACCACTGGAAGGCTGCAAAGAAAGTAATGAGATATCTTCAAGGTACAAAGGACTACATGCTCATGTACAAACGAACTGATAATTTGGAGGTGATTGGCTACTCCGATTCAGACTACGCTGGCTGCATTGACTCAAGAAAATCAACATCAGGTTATATTTTCATGCTAGCTGGTGGAGCTGTATCTTGGAGAAGTGCTAAGGAGACCTTGACTGCTACTTCCATGAAAGCTGAGTTCGTATCCTGTTTTGAGGCTACCTCGCATGGTGTATGGTTGAAGAGTTTCATATCTGGGCTTAGAGTCGTGGACTCTATTTCAAGGTCATTAAAGTTGTACTGTGACAACTCAATTGCAGTATTTATGACTAAGAATAATAAGAGTGGAAGTCGAAGTAAACACATCGACATCAAGTATTTAGCCATAAGAGAACATGTTAAGGAAAAGAAAGTGGTTATTGAACACGTTAGCACTGAGTTGATGATTGTGGATCCTTTGACTAAATGCATGCCACCAAAGAATTTTAAGGATCACGTAGTACGAATGGGACTTGGTTCCATAATGTGATTTACATTGTATGAATATTTATTGAAACTCTTAATTCAGTTGATGATTTCTCATATGGTTTTGTGCACATATTTATTCATTCGTTTATTTTGAGAAATCTCATTCGGTTTGGACTTTGGAATAGACATATGGTTTATTCATTAAGTTGTATAGGATAGTGTTGAGAGACTTGATATAGTGTAATACATGGAAGATAATACTCACTATAAGAGGACCTATCGCCATGATTCATATATTTTGTTTCTCTATATGATATGTGTTGAACTATATGAACCAAGTGGGAGAATGTTGGGATTTTTTCTTTAAGATTCCCAAATTAGTTAATAATGGGAATTAAATTTATTTCTTTAGAATTCCCAAATTAATTAAAACTCTATTTTAGTTTCAATACCCTTTGGAATTCCAAATTAATTTCAATACCCTTTGGAATTCCCAAATTAATTTCAATACCCTTTGATATTCCCAAATTAATTTCAATACCCTTTGATATTCCCAAATTAATTTCAATACCCTTTGATATTCCCAAATTAATTTCAATACCCTTTGAAATTCTCAAATTAATTTCAATAACCGTTGGAATTCTTTGGTGTTTTTAAGAGAAATAATTTTCAGAATGTGGTTCATATAGTGTCTAAGTTCAACACATGAATTTAGTAACATTCCATAATGTGGTCACATCCATTGAACTCTGTGATGGGCAGAGTACTATAAATTAGATGTGATGTTTGTTGTTTTGGTCCCTAAGCTTGCTCCTATTCATTTTATTTGCACCATCGGGTTGTGAGTGAGAAAAACTTAGAAGATCTATAACAGAAAATTTATCGTGTGAGTTGTGAGTGTCGACTCTGTTCGTTTAAGTTATGGCTGGAGGTATGTATGATCCTATCTCGTTTCTGCTAATCGATTTAAAAATTAATTTTGTAAATCGAATATGGTATTTAGAATCTTTTACATATTCTTCTTTGAGAGAATACAGACTCATAAGATTATTTCCATCCCACATTCAATATTTTGTCACATTTTTAAAAGGAGTTTTTACATACATATCACTCAAATCTTACGTATTTACATATCTAACTTCTAAACTTCAATTTTTACGTAACAGACCACCTTATCTATGCATAAAAGGTTGTATATGGCTTTTTAAAATTTAAAAGTGAAGGTATTTTTGAAAAAAAATGAAAAAGTCTATTTGAAGCCCACTTGCCACATGTTTCTGTACATCATTATTAGTGTGAGCCTGCCATGCTCTGCATAAACGCTCATTTTTGCTCTCTTACACATGAGTTAAATCTAGTATTTTTTCTTACTATTTCAGTCTATAACATTGATAGGTACAACTGCAAGAGTTATTTTTTGGAAATATGTACACATTGTGCGTGATTCTTTCTAGTGGTCCAAAAGGTGATCTGAATTTTGGCCCGGCACCTTCTGTCCGATGGGTCCGATGGTTTTATGATGAGAGCATCAGTTTTGATGCTGAAATTAAAATTTAATATATTTTTTATTTGATTTTGTGATCCTAACATTATTGTTGTTGTTGTTAGTGTCTTATTTATTTTGATAACATTAAGTTATTTTGGAAGACAATTTGTATTGCTGTAGGATTTATTAGTGACCAAACTCGTATGTTTGGTTGGGATACAGCATATGTTGAAGTTATTATGTTGAACTGATGTTTATATAACTATTTTAGGGGAAAAAATGGGTTTATGTTCTACTTCAATAATTCAATTATGATTTCACTTTTATTTTTTTTATTTGGGTAATACAACTAAAAAAGAAAGAATTACATACACTGAAAATATTTATGATATCCACATAATATATACTGATGAGTATTACAGACAGTCTACCGACAGCTCTTTCAAAATTACTTTTTTTTGAAACATCAGATTTTCTACAATAGCATTTTAATTTAGATTACGTACAGTTATAACCTGAACAAATTTTTTTTTTTTTTTCTTCTTTTATTTTATTTTCTATTTTTGAAAATTATTTTTAGCAAACACACCTAGGGTTGTAAACGAGCCGAGCTTGAGCGAGCTCAGGTTAGGCTCGTGTTTGAAATCGGCTCGTGAACAGTGTGTTCGTGTTTGGCTCGATTTAAATATTCGTGTTCGTGTTCGGCTCGTGTTCGGCTCGAAATTAGCTCGTTAAACTTAAATTGAGAAAAATATCTATAAATTGTGGAATTCGAACCTGGATCAAATATATACAAAAGAAGACACTAACCACATTGTCACATGAGGTATTATGATTTAAACTTAGATATAAATTTATATAATATATTATTATATAAATAGTATATATTATTATGTAAAGAGTTATATAATTTTATTTATTTATTTTGAGCTAAAACGAGTCGAACACGAGGAACATAGAGTTGTTCTTGTTCGACTCATTTATAATTCGAGCTTTAAAAATTTGTTCGTGTTCGGCTCGTTCGGCTCCTGTTCTTTTAGAACGAGCGCCGAACGAGCCAAACACGAGCTACTTAACGAGCCAAATACTAGTTATTCGCGAAGAACAAACTTTTTTGACAGCCCTAAACACGAAAAATTATTCCATACGGATCGGACACCGCACGCAGCTTGCGTGCGGTGTTCGATCCGGACCGTAAATCACCTGATCTACGGTCCCGATGTATTTTGGTGGGCCCCACCTAAATTTAAAAAAAAACGGAAATAATCCTGACCGTAGATCCCCGTGATCTACGGTCAGGATCGGACACCGCATGCAGAGATGCTTGCGGTGTCCGCACGTAATAATCCCTCCCTAAACACACCCCTAACTTAGCCTAAACTTGACCGTTACATTGACAGTGATAGGTTCACAGTACACGTCCTGAAAAAAAAAATAAAAATCTACAGCTTAGGAATAATAAATTGGCACAGGCCATAAAAATATGTGATTCTGCCGGCGGAACTTATCTTGCAGACCATTCTTCCTGGAAACTGTTAACAATTAAAATAATTCAGCCTATTAAATATAATACTTAATCGCTCAAAAATATCGAATTAAAATAATTCGCCTATTAAATAAAATAAGTAATAGCTCCTAAATATTATAATAAACTAATCATTAACGGTTTTGAATTTAATCCCATTATAAATAATAAAAAAATAATTTATATAAAATAACAAATTGTTGAGTTGCTTAAATTTTGACTTAAAATATTTTTTAAAAACCGAAATATTCAGAAAAAAAATAAAATAATAATTATAAAAATGAAGTAATAAAACGCTGGCCTAAAGAGACCCTGCAAAACTCACAAATGGCGCTGCTGCTGGCCCGTCATCGAATCAAGTTGACCGATGAGTAGACCATTCTCGAAGCATGAGTCTCCCTGGGATCATGCCCATCACCTGTTTGTATTTATGCCCCCAAGAGTAACCTCTCTCTGCGCACATCTTACAGCAACAATCTCATCTATCTCTCAAACGCCATGGATAACCTGTCCACAGTAGCATACTGGGAAGACATGCCGCTCGATTGTCTTTCCATCATCTTCTCCAAGCTCGGCCTCGACGACCTCTCCACCTCCATCCCCTTCGTCTGCAAATCATGGTCCCAAGTTTCCTCCCACCCCTTCTTCTATCAAATCGTCGACTTCCGCCTTCTGGAACTTAGCCCATCTTCTTCATTCTCCAAAATCTTCTCTTCCCAATACTCTCTTCCTCGCTTCACCTTCTCCAGCTTCCTCAAACTCGCCATCGCGCGAAGCCATGGCGCCGCCAATGAGATCCGCTTCTCCCCTCTCTTCCCTCCTTCAATGGAGGTTCTCTCCCTCGCATCCCTCGCTTGCCCTAAGTTGAAAGTCTTGGGGTTGCCAAGAGTCAATTTTGACGATGAAGTTCGTTTTTTGAATCTGATAAGCAAATGGAGGGATCTCGAATGGCTTGAAATGGATTCAAAGCCAAGAAATTTGAGAGAAATTGCAGAGCAGATTGGAATTCATTGCAGCAGGTTTTACGGGATTAAAATTTGCGGCTTGATTGGAAAAGAAGATGTGTCAGGTATTGTTGATTTTATTCCAAAGATTGAAGTTTTGGATTTGAGTGGGTCTCGAATAGGGAAGGAGGAAGTGTTGGCTATCTTAGATGGGTGCAGGGAGCTGAAGAGATTGAGCTTGAAGGATTGTGTTGGTTTTGAAGCTGATGAAGAGGTAAGATGTAGGGCTAGAGGCATAAAAATTTTTGAATTTGAGGGATGCAGGGTTGAAGATGAATTGAGGGCTTCTGTGGATCAGAGTGATGCATTGGAACAGATGTTCATGTATTTTGATGATTGTTATGAGATGTGGATGTTATGAACTTTGAATCTTCCAAATTCTGTTTTCTCTAGTTTAAATCTGCTCTGATCAAGCAATCAAGAGTCAAATTGTCTGTCAGAAATCAACAATGCTCTATGTTTTTATACATATATTATTTTGCTTTATGTTTGTTTTTTCATTTCTTCAAGTAGCAGTTTCTTTTCAAGAAATCATTAATAAATATAGCTTTTCAAATGAGGAGATTTTTCGTTGCTGTCTCGCTCAACAATAGTTGAGACTTAAATTATTAGTATTTAGTAAACCCTGCACATCTAGACTTATTAATTCCTGCTTGAAATCCAGAAAATTATCTGGCAATAGATTTAGTAAATCCTGTAAACATAATGAAACTATTTGGCGGTTACTGAGCTGCACCACAGTTCTTACCGAGTTGCGCCTTAAATCCGAATTGTGCGAAGTTAAATCTCCTGATTCATAGGATTTATTAAATTTGAGATTTACGGCTGAAATCTGTGAAATCAAGATTTACTGCATCTCATAATTTATTTTGTCCAAATTGACTGTCCGGAAAGATTTCCCTTAAATCTTGCCTAAATCCCACCATGCCAGACAACCTCTAGATGCTTCGAAGAGAAGAAAGCATTGATTGAATGTGAAGGGCTATTTACCATATGGATGCATGTGAAGTAGGAGGTTGCCAACAATATCTTTAACTTGGAGATTTAGAGAAACCTAATCTCATCAAGAATGGTGAGATGATTAGGTCTCAAGAGTACTTGTCATCCTCATCCTTACCCGCTAAATTGATTTCAAAAAGACTCAGTGTGTGGGTAAGTTTGCAATGTCATGTATGCTTCGCCATATCCCAAACGTGCATCAGGCCATTAGGGAGGTATTTTATATGAAGTGGTGCTTCATGATATCTTCCAAATTATATTTGAAAGCTTGTAATATGGCACAAAGATGTTGCCTTTTTAAAGGTATCCAAATAATACCATCGTTGAAGTGATGGTGTGAGCTATATGTTGGCATAAACAAACAGGTGAAGATGACCATAAATGCATGCCTTTGTTAGAAAATTCATGTTTCAACTTTATACACAAATTTTAAAAGAAAAGTACATAATAGCCAAGATCTTTTAAATTCATGATTTTTACATATGAAAAAAATAAAGCGACGCATACCTGTATTCATGATGAACAAATTTGATCTTGAAGAGATGAAGTTTCTCTTTCTAATCCCTTAAAACTTTCTGTACTTTCTGATGGAGAGAAATGTACGAGGTGTGTTGGGTAGAGAGAGGACCCATTCTCAAATTCATGCTCTATTTATCCACCATCCATCAAGGGGGTTACTAACCAATAGGATTTATGATAATTTAATAAATTAATTGATTTTTATTAATAAAATCAATGACATAAGTTAGTAACATTTATTTATTTTAGGGGTTATAGAGTTACAAAAATAAATATTATAAGTTATCATAAATTATGACATAAGTTATGAGTTAAGAAAATAAATAACTTAAGTTATCAAAATAAATATCATAAGTTGTCATAATTTATGACATAAGTTATGAGTTATGAAAATTAATAACTTAAGTTATCAAAAATAAATCTCATAAGTTATTAAAATAAATGTGAGTCATAAATAAAAATATAACACTGCAACCCTATCATACAAAAATATTGTACACAATAACCCAAGAGAGAAAATAATTAAAAAAAAAGTCACATTCCTTCATTTAAACTAAAAAAAATGGTCCTTGTAATTCATGATTTATGAACTTATTAGAATGAAAGTTAAAATCTATACGTGGCAAAATTCTTGGCCATGAAATGGAGAATCTATACGCATCCAAGCTGAGATCAGCCAAGAGTTCCACGTCCTCCTAAAATATTCAAGAAATAATTGGTAAATTAGCACTACATAGAGTTGGAGCTTTAATTCTCTCTAAAATGTGACTGAATTTTAAAAAAAAAAGTCTCATAATATTTTGTGCACAGAATTCTCATACCTTGTAACGGTGGTATGAGTCACATGCAATGTCTCCATTACTCCCATCTGCCATTTTTTTCTGAAATGGAGAAAAAAATAATAATTACAAAATTTCATGAAAAAATTATTTGCTTAGGATATTTATGTAAATCACCTATTACATAATTATTAAACTAATTATTTTTTTAACACAATTTTTATATATCTATATTACTGGGATTTCATTTCCTCCATCTATTTGCCTAGGAAGATTTACATACATACAACTCAATTCCTATATATTTACATGTCTAATATTTAAACTTTAATTTTTACATACATGAAACCTTTCCATTGCATGAAATTGTTGATGTGATATGAAATATTTGGGGGTATAAATATAAAAAATAAAGCATAGGTAATAGATATAAAAATAATTACATTTTGCACCAAAAATATTTTAAGAAAATAAACTAAAACCTGGATATTTTCTGCAGAAATTTGTCCATATACACTCTCCCCTCCCTCCAAACGCTGATCCTTCCACCTGAATTGAAACCAGTGTGCAATTTAAAAATATCAAATATAAAACGTAAAAACATATTTACATGAACAAAATTATTTCAGAGATAATAATACCATGATTTTCTTAGCTTTGGTCAAAGTATTTAATAAGATCATTATACTAATTCTAATTTAGAGAGAGGGAGAGAGAGAGTCTCACCTGGAAAGCAGCGGTAGCAGCACCGAAGAGAAAACGAGAAGGAAAACTGATTCTACCAAGCCTAGATGATATCTTCAAATCATCTTTAGGAGATTGATTTCCGCCATTTTCTTCCTGCTTCGACCAAACCACAAGCTTTCTACTCCCTTTAACTCTAGGAAGAACAACTGCCTTACTTCTCCATATATCACTAGAAAATATCTTGCTTCTAAAGCCAAGAGACTGAAGAGGAAGAACACCAGTAGTACTTCCCAGCGTTAAAACCATGATTAAACTGCCCTCTTTAATTTGGTTCAGAACTCAAAACTGGTACAGATAGGCTTTTGTGGAAGAAGATTGGTGATCTGTTAGATTTATATCGAAAAAGATGATGATGATGTATATATATCGTATTTTTCCTTCTGAATATTTAGCATACCGTCTACTTCAGGTTTTCTTAATTATTTCTGGAAATAATTGGGTTTTATTTTTCAACGTTCAATTACTTCCGTAAAATGGACCTTTGACTCTGGATGACTAGAAAACGAGGGAATCTTAATCGCTGATATGTCATCAATAAATACCATCGTCTCACATGAATCTAGATAGACCATTTTTAAAAAGACTTGCAAGCTTTGATAAAAGACATTTTTAGTAAACTTACAATCAAATTAACTGGCTCGATGAGAGAGATCCAATGATATCAAAATTGGTTAAATCCAAATCAAATCAAGCCTCGAGCAAGACGATAAATTGTACTTAAAAGTTTTTTGGACATACTTGGAAGGTCAAATGAATGTTTAATCTGACAAGTTTATAGTCAAATCCAGCGTTTCAACAAGACAAATTCAAGGAGTCCGAAATCGCCTAATTTCAACATCATCATGAAATTCAAATGGTCATTAAACGGTGTCTGATTAACAGAAACTCTCCTGATTGTTTGATCAAAGTGATTCACATTTCTCCATTTATTACACCAAGATTTATAGAAATAGAGTCTCACCCCTCTCATGAGGGGGGAGGGTGCTTGAAGATTAGTAATCTGTTATGGATTTATATCAAAATGATGATGATGATGTGTATTTGTAGTATTTTTCCATCTGAATATTTACCATACCGTATGCTTCAAGTTTTCGTAATTATTTCTGGATTAAGTGGGTTTTAATTTTCCACGTTCGATTACTTCCGTAAATGTACTTTGACTCTGGATGACTAGAAACGAGTGAAGCTTAGTCGCTGATACGTCTTCAATAAATATCATTATTTGACATGGATCTCGATAGACCTTTTTTAAAAAAAAACTTCAAACTTTGATAAAAAGATATCCAGAAGTCCGTTTTTAGTAAACTTACAATCAAACTAACCGGCTCGATAAGACACTTCAATGATATCAAAATTGGACAAATAAAAACCAAATCAAGGCTCGAGCAAAACGACAAATCGTGTTGAAAATTTTTTGGACATATTTGAAATGTCAAATGAATGTCGATCTGACAAGTTTATTGTCGAATCGAGCATTTCGACAAGAAAAATTCAAGGAGTCTCCAAAATCGTCTAATTTCAACATCATCAAAAAATTCAAATGGTCATTAAACGATGTCTGATTAGCAGTAACTCTCCAGATTATTTAATCAAAGTGATTCACATTTCTATATTAATTACACCGGGATTTCTATAAATAGAGTCTCACCCCTCTCATGAGGAGGGAAGGGTGCTTGAAGCCTGAAGTAGACTACAAATTAGAGAAGACGTTGAAATCCAACATCACCTTGCCGCCGACCACTAGTCGTCAACCGTCCCCAACCAACACTTATCGATCGCTGCAGACCACCACCAACCTACCATCACCAACCACCGCTCACCGGTCGCCGCCCATCTAAATCGATTGCTGCTCACTTTTTACGATAAGTTCATCCGCACTCTTGCTCTGAAGAATGTGTATTTATTTCACGCTTATGAGACAAGAAACTGTATTTGTAATGTATAGTTTATAGTGGATTTCTTTAGTTGGGTCAGACCCCATGATTTTTTTTACTAGCTAATTACATTTTAATTTAAATACATGAATAATTTTTCAAGTCTAATTTAAATTTGTGACTTTTTATATCTAATAGCTAGCTTATACATTATAAATTAGTGTACCAAAATGTGTGATTATAAAATGTAAGATATGTGAAATGATATCTGACTACAAATTTATTAAATGTAATCTTAACACAAATACTTCAATTAATTTTATTTGGAATCAAATTCAAAATCATCCAAATTCCAATTTTAATAAATTTATATTCAAAATGGCATTTTGATGAAATTAGCACGAAAACTCCATAAATTTCTTGATCCGAGTTCAAATCAATCC